AGACTGGGCAATCTACTTCCATAGAGATACCGCCTCAGAAACCCAAGGAGGGGTTGCTATGAGTAGGAATTGACTTGACAGCAGTGAGGTTTTTTTTTTTTTTTATTTCTTTTTCTTTTTTGCTTCCATGGGTGTTGATTGTGGAACTAAGTAAAGTGAAATTTTGGACAATTCAATCTTTTCTCCATTTATCATGATGCTGCTTATTGGGCCAGTTGTGAGGATTTTATGTTGAGGTGGAATCCATACTGAAGACTAGTCTTTACTCTTTACCAGTAAGTGGTTCAAGTCATCTTCACTTTCAACAAGCAAGGTCATGTCATTTGTATATGGCAGTCGTTAATCCTATCAGATGCCACATTCTTCTTCATATAGTCAGGTTTCATGAAATATTTGCTCAGCATACAGATTGAATAAATACGGTGAAAGGATACAACCCTGATGCATATACCCTTCCTGATTTTAACCCATGCAGTATCCCCTTGTTCTGTCTGAATGACAATGACACCTTCCTGGTCTATGTACAGGTTTCTCATGAGCACAATTAAGTGTTCTGGAATTCCCATTCTTCTCAATGTTATCCATAACTTGTTATGATTCACAGTCAAATGCTTTTGCATAGTCAATAAAACACAAGCAAACATCTTTCTGGTATTCTTTGTTTTTAGCCAAGATTCATCTGACATCAGCCATGACATTCCTTGTTTCACATCCCCTTCTGAATCCAGCTAGCATTTCTGGAAGTTTCTTGTCAATATACTGCTACAACCATTTTAAAATTATCTTCACCAAGATTTTACTTGCATGTGGTATTAACAATATTGTTCAATAATGTCCACATTCTGTGGAAACCTTTCTTTGGAATGAGAACAAGTAAGGATCTCTTCCAATCAGTTGGCCAGGTAGCTGTCTCCCAAATTACTTGGCATGGATGAGTAAGTGCCTCCAGCATGGCAGACAATTGTTGGAACATCTCAATAGGTATTCTATCGATTCCTGGAGCCTTGTTTTTCACCAATTCCTTCAGTGCAGCTTCAACTTCATCCTTCAATGCCATGGGTTCTGATCATTTGCCACCTCCTGAAATAGTTAAACATCAACCAATTCTTTTTTGTACAGTGACTCTGTATTCCTTCCATCTTCTTTTGATGCTTCTTGCATAATTCAATGTTTTGACCACAGAATCTTTCAATATTGTAATATGAGGCTTGAATTTCTTCTTCAGAACTTTTACCTTCAGAAATGCCAAGCATGTTCTACCATTTTGGTTTTTTAACTCCAGGTCTTTACACATTTCATTATAATAACGGAGTTTGTCTTCTTCAGCTGCTCTTTGAAATCTTCTGTTCAGCTCTTTTATCTTGTCATTTTATCCATTTACTTTAGCTACTCTCCATTCAAGAGCAAGTTTCAGAGTCTCTTCTGACATTCATTTTGGTCTTTTCTTCCTTTTTTTTTTTTTTTAATAGGTAGATGCTAGATCAATAGTTTTTTTTTTTTTTTTTTAAATTTATTGTGATTTGGGTGAAGATTGACAGAGCAAATTCACTTTCCATACAGCAGTTCACATATACTTTATCTCATGTCATTGACCACAGTTTACCACAATGCAACAGCTCTCCTCCCACTTCCTCCCCATAGTTACCTCTTCCCAGTGACCATCCCTCCATACTCTCCTGTGCCCTGAGCTG